CCAATGCAGAGGGCCAGCACAAGACGTATACAGCACAGAGGTGAGGCTTAAGGATTAATGTTCCCCACTATGAATGATATTGGCAAGAGTGTGGAAACAAGCAGTTTGAGTACTAGCAAATTCATGTGGAAAACTCTAGCAGAATTCTAATACAAGTGTGTTAGCAGTTCCTAGTATTGGTCCCAGAACCACCAGTACAGGAGCTAGAGGACATGCTTAGCCTTTCAGTGGTATCTTTGATGGTGTCTGTCTATTCATGCTAAATCATTGCATTCTGTCTCTCTGCAGTTCATATTTTCTCCATTGTGGCGGGTGATGTTTTCTTACTAGCTGCCTCAAAGTCCAGCCAACTGCAGGGAAAACACGCCACAGGACCCACTTCAAAAAGTCACCTATCTGGAGGAACTCCCAAAATTATTAATGCCATTGATCAAGGGGATGGGGTAGCTCTTGAATCTTTTTTTTAAGGGTCCCTCTTCAAGGAAATCATTTCATGTGTTAATGTAGATTTGACTTAGGAAAACATACCTTCTGCTTTGGATGAGGTCCCTAAGAGCACAGCCATGAGGTAAATCAAGGGAACCCTTCACTATTTGGTTAGGTCGGGAGAAGCAGACACTCTCTGAAAGGAGATACTGATGCTGTTTGAATGCCGGCTGTAGGAAACCTGCTTGTGTTTGCAGAAAAGCCAGAGTCAGATGAGGAACCAACAGCTGTGTTCTGTTTTATTTCCTGTAAGGCAAATGGAAGCCACTTGCTAAGAAGATGTCAACTTTGCATGAACTCTATATATCTGTCTTATCTCCTGTCTAGGCTGTAAGGATTTTACTAGTTGAGCGGATGAGATACACTGCACTAAAATCTAGTTTGGCATGGTGTGTAAAAGATGAACTTTGGATGAAGTTCCCCAATTTTTATATATACACACACAGGAAAATCAATCAAAGTTAATGCTTTAAGCACCATTGCAAGTTATATTTCAGTGAATTCTATATCTACTGGGGAAATTAATGATAAAGTTCATGCCTATTATTTCATATACATTTAGAGGAAAGGTAATTAATCCATAAAGCTAGAAGTCAAAAATTATTTTTAAAACTATGTTCCTCGCTCTGCATTAGCAGGGCTTTTGCCCCATTTCACAATGATGTCAAAGGATAATATATGACTCAGATGATTATGATATAATCGCTCATGCAGTCTTGGTTCCTTTGAAAAAATAGCAGCCAGAGAGATCATCCATGTACTTTATAGTACGTATATGTGTTGCCAACTCTCACTATTTTATCAAGAGTCTCCCAATATTTGGTGTTTTTCTTAAAGCTCCAGCTCCCGGAGTCAAGGGATTACATGAGAATCTCAGATCTCATTTTTAAAAGTTTCTAGCCCTCGTGGTTACAGAGAAAAGCTTGTAGATGTGAACTCTAGTGGCTACAAGCAGGAGACACACAAAACAGACCAAATCGGAAGATGGGCACAAAAGAACCTGGATGAGTGGGTCTTTATGACATGGTATTTACTCAGTGAAATATAAATGGTCAGGAGGCAATTTGGCAAACACGTGCTAATTTAGAGTGGACCTGAACATTTTTGAACTATGCGGTGAGAAACCTGGACCCAGACCTGAATATTGCAGTTGAACCTCAGACCCAGCTTCATTACAAAATGTAGCCAATGGTGCTGTATATCTTGCATTTAATGCCTGACCTCCCTGGGCCAGATCCTTCCTGCTGTATATGTGTATTGTCATAGCTCGATTGAAATCAATGGAGCTATGCAGATTTGCTCCAGTTGGGGATCTGCACCCGCCCTTCCTCCCACCTCTCCCCCCCCCGCCCCGGTCTCTGGAGCAGAAAGGAGCCAAAAAGTCTTCACATAAGCTGAGGTTTTCTCTGACTGGAAATGCTGCTGCTGTTATTTCAAACAGTCTGTCCGCACTTGATGGCATAAACGGCCTCAGCAATACCGTCCTGGAATGTGAAAACAGGGTAGTCTGGCCATTAGCCCTGGCTTTGCCCTGCAGTCTCCTTGCCAACGGGTGTCCGATGGCAGCCAGAGAGAGGGGTAGAAGTGCAAAAGAAAACAAGCATTCGCTGCAGCAGCCGGCCACGTTCCTGAGCAAACAGGATCATGCCACCTGACTTCAGACACAGAGCTGTGAAGTATGAGCAGGGAGAGCCCCCCCTCCCTGCTAAAGCACGCAGCTGAGTCCTCAGCTTATCATAACATAATATACACTCTGAGCCATATTTTTTACCACATCTGGTCTTCATTTGGATGCTGAGCCAAAGCCAAATGATTGTACCTCCTGAAACAGCTGGCTGGTTCACATCAAAAGTGTGATGTCTGCAAGAGTGAATTCTGGGTGAGAAGAGCTTAGCTGCTACTAAGTTTGCATGGGGAAGGCTCCTTTTTGACTCCCGTTGTCAGGTAGCCGCATACAGACCACAGGTATACCGGTTTGAATCCTGGCTGGGGTAAGAAGCAGGACACATCACACACACAGTAACCCCCCCAGCCAACAGATGTGAACTCGGTCCAGCATAGCAGCCTGTTCTAGTGAGTGTCTGGCTGCCAGATGTTAGCAGATACAATAAACATCTTTGCACTGAAGTACTAATTGGCCTTGTCATCTCATCTGAACAGCCCCATTTTTCTCCCCTACAGTCACCCCTGACTAGCTATTAAGGGTGTTAAATTGCATCCATGCTAACTTCAAATCCTGAGCATAGGTGGTTAACTAACACTTGTTTTAGTAATGGCGAGAAATCAACAAGGACACAGTTAAATAAAGGTAAAGGGCCAGAGCATCAACCCCTGCTCTGGCGCCTCTCCCCTTGAAAGAAACAGGCAGACCAGTGTTTCTGGCCCCAAGAGAGATGTAATTTTTTCTTGTCAATGTACCTTTAAGAACATACCTCTTACATTGCTCTTTGTGTGCTTAACATTACACACTCTACCAATTCAGCGGTGCCAATGCTAGTGGGTGTTCAGGACAAATTCCAACTCACTTAAAGTTTCCCCATACCTAATTATACATCAGACCCTAAAAGTAACTAATGGGAGCTTAGATGAGGGCCAATGCCAGAGCGATGAAGCTAATACTGCGACTCCATGTATCCCCACAGAAAAATGACTGGGCAGCTACTGAGTCGATAAGTAGCAGTTAAAGACTAATTTATATTGTGCTACATAGTGACAAGTGTAATTATGTTCTACTCAGGTTACAGATCGGATAATAATTGCCTCTGGCTGATTTTGGATTTCTACCTCATTGAAAGGGACTTGAATGATATAACCAAAGAGGAGATCTTTGCTTGGAAGTTTCTGACTGGCTAGAAGATCCTGAGATACACCAACAGCCACTCTCGGCTTTCCAAAGGGAAATGCCACCTCTGACTGATCTCCTCTCCAGAAAGGTGGTCTGGGTCTGGTGGGAGAAGAATGGGTATCAGACAAAATTCCTAAGGCAGATAATACAGGAGATTATTCAAGTCACTGTTTCAGTGCAAGGACCTGGTCCCGACTGTGTACACAGATATGAATAAAATACATCCCTGAACAAGACTTGCCCTGCCAAGAAACTACATGCAGCCAGGGTCTGGTAAGGGTAGGATTCCACTAACCCTGTCGCCTTCACTCCCCCTCCAAAATTATATATATATATATATATATATATATATACACACACACACACACACACACACACACCACCGT